CTGCCTCAGCCTCCCAAGTGGCTGGGACTACAGGCGCACGCCATCACGCCCGGCTAATTTGTGTGTGTGTGTGTGTGTGTGTGTGTGTGTTTTTAGTAGAGACGGGGTTTCACTGTGTTAGCCAGGATGGTCTCGATCTCCTGACCTCATGATCCACCCACCTCGGCCTCCCAAACCTCAGACGTTTTAAACCTGCTCAGGTGTCTCCTTCCTTACCTATTCTCCCTTCACCCCTTTCCCATCCTCTTTTCTCTACTCCCTGCCTTTTCACACCTCGCATCTCCCTTAAATTGTGAAAACAAGAATGGGAAAAGGACACCTTAAGCCAACAGATTAGTAGGTGTTTGGTTGATATAAATACTGGGGCTGAGACTCTGAATATGGAGCTTGAGATTTTGGACTTTACTTCTAGTCCTCAGAATAAGAGTTACTGGGCAGGTTTTGTTTATTCCTTGATTAACTCACATGTCAGATACTTAGACTGACACAGAGCCTGGCAGGTAGTTCAGAAGACCCTAATCCTACATCACCCAAGACCCATATGACAGTTCATAAGACCCTAATCCTGCCATAAGGTCACAATCTTATGGAGAAGACGTAGCAGCAGTGAGCACACAACCCCCACTCTCTCCACATCCCCCATTCAATCTTTGAATTTTGAGGATAGAAAGAACTTTAGCTTATCTGGTCTTCTTTCATGTTGCTGTGTAATAAAGTAAGGCAGATCATGAGAGTACGTAGGCTCTGGAGTAAAGTAAAGCAGACCTGGGTTCAAATTCTAGCCTTGTTGCTTACTAGCTGTTTGACCTTGAATGGCACACTTAGCCTCACCTGTCTTCAGTTACCTTGGTTGTAAAATGGACATGTCATCACCTACTTCACAGAGTATCATAAGGATTAACAGTTTAACACCCAGCCTCATGCCTGAGGCATAGTAGCAGCCCATGTCTTTCTGTCACCCTGCATCAAGGCTTGGCTTAAATCTTTGCTGCTTCTGTGAAGCTTCTGAGACAACCCCAGGTCAGACTGATTTGTTTCTTCACTTTCACAGTATATAACATTCTTTGAACTGTTAGATCCTGCCTAATATTCTTAGTAATTTTTTTTGTGGGATCTCATAGTCCCATCCTGAATGCCAAGTGCCTAAGGATAAAGACTGTTCTCAATCATCTGTGCGTCCTCCATAACCCCTCACTCAGAGCTGTGTACATAGCAAAGCCAACCAGTACAGCTAGTATCAGGAAATATTTTTTGACTAATTAGATAGAAGGTTCGTGTATGTACTCTGTTTTTCAGCTTACGAGAAGAACTATAAAAGACCTGGCTGGGACTCTCCCATCCTAACTCTGCTCTTTTCCTCACCTGTTATCACATTGATAAAAACATGTGATCATAAAATCCTTGTGTTGGCAGTATAGGAATTCCCATTTTGCAGATGAGGGATCTGAGATGAAGGTTAGAACTCAGGTCTCTTGTTGGGAGATAGATCCAGACTAAGTAGGAGGAATAGAAACAGAAATCTTATAACTGGCTGGGCGCAGTGACTCACGCCTGTGATCCCAGCACTTTGGAAGGCCGAGGCAAGCAGATAATTTGAGGTGAGGAGTTTGAGACTAGCCTGGCCAACATGGTGAAACTCCGTCTCCACTAAAAACAAAAATTAGCCAGACGTGGTGGCATATGCCTGTAATCCCAGCTACTTGAGTGGCTGATACAGGAGAATCGCTTGTACCCAGTAGGTGGAGGTTGCAGTGAGCTGAGATTGCACTACTGCACTCCAGCCTGGGCAACAGAGCAAGACCCTATCTTAAAAAATAAAAAGGAGGCTGGGCGTAGTGGCTCAAGCCTGTAATCCCAGCACTTTGGGAGGCCGAGACGGGCGGATCACGAGGTCAGGAGATCGAGACCGTCCTGGCTAACACGGTGAAACCCTGTCTCTACTAAAAAATACAAAAAACTCACTGGGCGAGGTGGCAGGCGCCTGTAGTCCCAGCTACTCGGGAGGCTGAGGCAGGAGAATGGCGTAAACCTGGGAGGCGGAGCTTGCAGTGAGCCGAGATCGCGCCACTGCACTCCAGCCTGGGCAACAGAGCGAGACACCGTCTCAAAAAATAAAAATAAAAATAAAAAAGAAATCTTGTAACTGACTAGGTCTCCATTCTTTGGAAGAAGCAGGAATTTTTACAAGGAAGAAGGGGAACAGGGGTACTATATTCCTGAGGCCTTAGCTAATGGTGAGACCAGAAGTGAATATACCCACAAGCCGGAAATGTTTCAAGAACATGGCAGAGAGAGTGGCGAGAAAAGGGTTCAGGATAACGTCATAGATTCACTAGGCCTTGAAAATTAAGAAGGGTTTGAATGTGTATAAATGAAGAAGGGCAATTCCAGTGAGATAACAGTATGGACAAAAAAAATGGGAGGTAGAAAGCCCACAGTAGAAGTAAGGCAGATGATGACCAGATACTGGCATACCTAATAGCAAGACTGAGGTGAGCCATGACTTTTTTTGAGCAGGGAAGTGGCATTAGGACCATTCGTCGGGCAGTGTGGGCCTCATGGATTGGAGTAAGAGGGGTAGGGGAGACTAGTGAAACAGAGACCGGGGAAGAGACTCCTGTAACAGTCTGCCTTTGTAATGTCAGTAAGTTTTGAGAAATATTCCAGTAGTGCAAGCAAGAGATAATGTGATCCTGAACCAAGAGGAAGTTGACAAAGTAGGGAATAAATAATACTTTGGGAGGCCAAGGCAGGTGGATCACCTGAGGTCGGGAGTTCAAGACCAGCCTGACTAACATGGAAACCCTACTAAAAATACAAAATTAGCCGGGCATGGTGGCCGGCGCCTGTAATCTGAGCTACTCGGGAGGCTGAAGCAGGAGAATTGCTTGAACCTGGGGGGCCGGAGGTTGCAGTGAGCTGAGATCGTGCCATTACACTCCAGCCTGGGCGACAGAGTGAGACTATGGTGAAAAAAAAAAGAAAGAAAATAATGATTTGGATGAGCTCTTAGAGTGGAAAAAAGTAGAGCTCTCAGAGGGGAAAAACAAAAAACCCACAAGGATTTGGCCGTTGTAGGAATGGGGCAGAGAGAGAAAGAGGGGTTGAGACCATGAATATTTGGAGTCTGAGTACCTGGGAGAATGGTTATGCCATTCTCTGAATCATAGAGGCTGGGAAATAGAAGATGAATTGAGTTTGTTGACTTGTTGATTGGAGATGTTGATAGTCCAGTCCCTTTAGCACCCGACTCCCTGTTGCCTCTGCCTTTGTCTTTTGATCCAGAGCTACAGAGATCCTTCGATTCCTTGTGCTTGCTGCTTTGTTCCAGACCTGGAGGCCCCCCGCACCCTCAATCCCTCTACTTATGACTTGGAGCAACTTTCACTTCCTCTGAAATAAAATAGTGCTTAGGCCAGTACCTACTCTGTTTCCAACTGTACAGTAAATGCACAGTTGTTATTAAATGGCCGTTGTTATTATCATAGCTTTGAGATTACAGTAACTAGAGATTAGAGAAGCCTCTGGAACCACCTGGCTGAAGGACTCAGGAGTCATTCAACTTGTATTCGGTAAAAAGCCTGGACTGCAAGTATATGGAGAGGATGTCAGGCTTGGGTGTAGATGGGTGGGGGACTGTGAGCCATGTAAACTAGAACAAGAGAACATGTTTCCTGCCTTCTTCTGTTTTTGAGAATTGTTACATGTAATGTGAGGTTAAGAGGGCAAGCCCTGGAGTTGGACTCCTGGGTTCAAATCCCAGCTCCACCATCTTGTTACCATGCAATGAGCAAATGTACTTAATTTCTTTGTGCCTCAGTTTCCCCATTAGTAAAATAACACACCAACCTTAAAAGATTGTGAAGATTAAATGCGTTAATACAAATAAAAGGTTTATATCAGTGCCTAGTATGTGCTAAGTATGTGCTACTGTTCTTTTCTAGAGTCTGCTCTATTCTATTCCACATTCCTGGGAATGAATATGTAGGGATTTCTCTTCACCATCCTCACCCAACAGAGGAGGGGTCTGAGCACAGAAACCTGAAATAAATCTCAGAGTGCTTGAAAGTTTGTCTCAGCTAGAATCTAGGTTATCTAAGCCTGGAGGAGCCTGGGCCACAAGTGACAGTTGGAGTTGTCTGGAAGACCTGAGTTTGACTCCCAGTTTTACCACTTGACTTATTTTGATCTTGGGCAAGTAACCTAGTCTCTCAGCCTTAGTTTTCTCATACGTAAAATACAGAACAAATTTCTTCTTGTGTTTCTAGTATACCTCATTTTCCTTGTGACTCTATTCTAGCTATATTATTAGTCTTCTTGTTCCTTAAACATACCAAGGCCACAGGGCCTTTGTACTTGCTGTTCTCTCCCTGGAACACTCTTCCCTCAGATCTTTGCATGTCTTATCCCCTCACTTCATTAAAATCTCTCTGGATGTCACCCCTTATAGAGGCCCCTCCCTGACCATTTTATCTAAAATAGACTTCACCCTTACCTTTTGTCGTTCTTTATTCCCTTACCTTGCTTTCCTTCCTTTTTTTTTTTTTTTTTTGAGATGGAGTCTCGCTCTTGTTGCCCAGGCTGGAGTGCAGTGGTGTGATCTCGGCTCACTGGAACCTCCCCCTCCCAGGTTCAAGTGATTCTCCTGCCTGAGCCTCCCAAGTAGCTGGGATTACAGGCGCCCACCACCATGCCTGGCTAATTTTTTTTTGTATTTTTAGTAAAGGCAGGGCTTCACCATGTTGGCCAGGCTGGTCTTGAACTTTTGACTTCAGGTAATCCGCCCCCCTCGGCCTCCCAAAGTGCCAAGACTACAGGCATGAGCCACCACGCCAGGCCTGCTCTATTTTTCTTTATGGCACTTAGCACTACTTGAAATTATATGCTGTAAATAATTGACCTGTCTTTTGCTAGGATGCAAAATGTGTGAGGTTAGAAATTTTGAATGCCTGCTGCCTGTTCTGAGCAGCACCCCTAATGGACTTTTCTCTCTATTATAGGTGAGCCCTATTCCCGGAGGCAGGTGGTGCTGACCCTGTAACCCAAAGGAGGAAACGGCTGGCTAAGCTCAGCATTGTTACTGGTGAGTGAGGGTGCCTGGGAAAGCTCTGGGCAAGCTTAGGCCAACATGGAGGGTAACTAGTTTGGGAATTGTTTTTACCTTCAGTACAGATAACTCACAAGTGATTATCTTCCTACTCCATGTCTAAGAGATCGGATGTTGCACAGGTAACCTTCTGAACTGGGAGTAGGGTTGAGACTGCTCTCCTAGAGCTGCCACAAGAATGTCTGGGATCATTTGCCATGAGTAAGGCAGAGCAGGTCTGCTTCCTTCTTGCTTCTGCTAGCTGCTTTCTGCTGGGATGTGTGGGTGGGGAGCTATCCTGGGACCTGGCGGCTGTACCTGTCCTCTCACAAGCTCTTTAACATGACCTCACAGCCCTTAGAGATTTTTTTTGGGGGGCGGGTAGAGGGGGGACAGTTTCACTCTTGTTGCCCAGGCTGGAGTGCAATGGTGCGATCTTGGCTCACTGCAACCTCTGCCTCCGGGTTCAAGCAATTCTCCTGCCTCAGCCTCCTGAATAACTAGGATTACAGGCATGCACCACCATGCCCGGCTAATTTCATATTTTTTAGTAGAGATGGGGTTTCTCCATGTTGGTCAGACTAGTCTTGAACTCCCGACCTCAGGTGATCCGCCTGCCTCAGCCTCCCAAAGTGGTGGGATTACAGGCGTGAGCCACCGTGCCTGGCCCCTTAGAGACTTTCTTAGATTTAGTTTTTACTGTGATCTGCCAAGCTCATAGGTCAGCTCCAGAAAATCCTGTAGTTTCTTCAGTTCTGCAAAATGTCGTACGAATAATGGTGAGAGTGGAGTGATTAGGGCTTTATAAATGGGATATCAGGGGAACCTGCAGATGGTGAGAAGGAAGGAAAATCCACACATTGAGAACTTACTGTGTTACTGATGTCAATCTAGACAAAATCCCTTTTTGTTTGTGTGGGGTTTTATTTTTGCTTTTGGGAGACAGGTGTCACTGTGTTGCCTAGGCTGGTCTCAAACTCCTAGGCTCGTGATCCTCCTGCCTCAGCCTCCTGAGTAGCTAGGATTATAGGCATGTACCACCACAGCCTGCTCTGAAACCTCATTTTATAGATGAGGAAATTGAGGCTCAGGAACTGAAATAATTTGCCCAGGGTTCACACCTGGGAATCCATAAAGCTGATGTTAGAACCCAGGTCAGTCTGACCATAAATGCTGTTGTTCTTCCTGACCTGACAGGCTTTCGTTGGGCTGCTGATTTCCCTCTCTAATTCTGAATTTTCTTACAAAGTTCAAGAAGGCAGACTTAGGGATTCAGAAAGGAGATTCAGTTGAGGGGCTGAACAGGGCAGGTAGGAGTTGGGGGTCCCTCTGAGTAGTGGTATTTCTAGTGAGGGGAGCTACTAGACTGAAAGATAGGAAGAACCTTCAAGCAGGCAGAGGCCCAGGCTAAAGTGACCAGAACAAGAAGAATGTATCTGTAACACATGGTATCTCATAAACACTTGGGCCAGTACAGGATAAGGACCTGAGTACTGGCTTGAAGTTGAGAAACCTGGGTTTTTATCTTCTCTCAACATGTGCCCTTGGACAGTCTTCATTCCCCTATTTGTAAAGTCGGAGTGCCTCCTTGTCCCCTCATGTCTCGTGTGTGTGCACCAACCATGCAGGTATGTTACAGAGAATCAAATGAGAAATGCAAGTTGGAAAGCTTTTGTGAATTGTAAAGCAGCATGAATGAAACAAGAAAGTGAGAGGAAAGCATTTTAAGTGTCTGTCTTAGCTCGTTTTATGTTGTTATAAAGGAGTACCTGAGGCCGAGTAATTTATAAAGAAGAAAGATTTATTTGTCTCACAATTTGAATGTCTGGAAAAGTTCAAGATTGGGTGTCTGCACTCAATGAGGGCCTTAGGCTGCTTCTGCTGTGGTGGAAAGGGAACTGCTGTGGCTAGAAATCAGATGGTAAGAGAGGGAGAAGGGAGATGCTAGGCTCTTCTTAACAACCATCTCTTACAGGAACAAAAAGTGAGAATTCACTCGCTTCCCCTACCCTCCTTCCAGGTAGGGGATTAATCTGTTCATGAGGGATCTGCCCTCCCATTAGGTCCCACCTTAAACATTGGGGATCAGATTTCAGCAAGAGGTTTGGAGGAGTCCAGCATCCAAAATATAATAGTATCTGTGGCATCTCAGTCCCTGACCTGTTTGCCACTCCATTCCCCAAAAGTAAACGGGAGGATTTTCCTTTGGAAATTTTCACTGTAAATCTTCTCTTATGCCCTTCTCCTCCTCTCCTTTCTTTTGTGGGCCCTACCCATAGCTTAGTTTTTCCTTAGGGAAGAGGATTCCAGGGCACAGATGACCTGGCACAGATGACAAAGCCAGGTAGCACAGGCAGCCACGATTTGCAATGTGTGGGCTGTAGAGTGCAGGTTTAAGTGCACTCATGAACCCTGGCATAGGATACTACAGCAGTTCCCAAGAGCCCATCCCAACAGGAGTCGGCACTCCACTGAGGTGTTGCCTCGTTCCCTGCTGTCATCTCTTGAAGAAGGCTATTACTCCTTTGGCCCTAGGTTCCCTGCCTGCCCCTGCTTACTGCTAGTGAAAAAGTCTCTTGTGCTGTAGCCTCACATTTTATGGAGGCCATGGTCATTCCAGTTTTTCTACCATCTTGTTCTCCCCCTTTACCAACGATGGAGACCATTCTCTTCATACTGGGTTTTAACAGTGGATATTCTGTTCTTCTATCTGCCTGAGAGTGCACAGAGGGTTTTGACCCCTACCTTCCCTCGTACTCTGAATATCCAAACTCTTGCTGCCACTTCTTTTTGCCTTGTTAATGTAAAGTTCTACAGCTCTGGCCTTTCCCTGGCCTGGGTGCCAAGCTTGGATTTTACGTGCTTCCTGTAACAACTGCTCTGTGAAGAAGCTCCACTATTAACTTTTAAAATATGAACGATTCCATCTAAATCAGTGTATAATATATACATTTATATATGATAAGCTACCCATATAATAGCTTATTTATCTAACAGCCTCATTTTTCCGGAGTCCAACTGAAAAACAAGAGGGAAGTAAAGCATTGTCATCCTTAAGTATTTGCACAGTGCTAATTTATTCTTATTTTTTATTTTTATTTTTTTTTGAGACAGAGTCTCACTCTGTCGCCCAGGCTGGAGTGCAATGGCACGATCTCCACTCACTACAAGCTCTGTCTCCTGCGTTCACACCTTTCTCCTGCCTCAGCCTCCTGTGTAGCTGGGACTACAGGCGCCTGCCACCATGTCCAGCTAATTTTTGTATTTTTAGTAGAGACGGGGTTTCACCGTGTTAGCCAGGGTGGTCTCAATCTCCTGACCTTGTGATTCGCCCGTCTTGGCCTCCCAAAGTGCTGGGATTACAGGTGTGAGCCACCGCGCCTGGCCATTTATTCTTATTTTTACGTATTGTTGTAACAGGTTTAGTATTTGGTTTCTAAAACCCCATAAGATTAAAAGCAGCATATCAAAAAAGGGAGAAGAGCTGCTATATTAATACCATCTAGGGGTGAGAGCTGAAAGCTGACTGAAAAGGGAAGAGTGAAAGAAGAATAAGTTAAAACAACAGTCTGGAGGCCACTTAATTTAGGAGCAGCACCTCCACAACTATGTCCCTCAGTAAGATGAGGGTGGGGCTGGGTAATTCTGTGGTGGTTTTGGGTTCCTCTTGAAAGCCAAAGTTTTCAGAAAATGTTAAGTATTTATAGTGTCTACTGTATATTATCAAACACTATACTGAATGCTTTACATAAATATATTTCATTTTCATAGCAACTTGGGAGGTAGGTGGTGATATTCTTATTTAATAAATTACTTGAGAGTTAGAGAGGGACGTGTAAGCAGTGATCAGAAGAGCTAAGCTTAGAACCCAGAAGAATCTGGCTCCAGAAAACCAAGTTTTTTTCTATTATATCCTACATTGGCTCTTTCCCCACACTACCTAAAACCCTGGTCCTTCTCAGGCTCTTAAGCTAGTAGTCCCCCACTACTCCTTTTTATTCATTCTCCTATAGACATTTTTCGTTTTGAGGATACACATTTATTCATTCAGTGAGTATTGGATTGTCTGTCATATACCAGTCACAGTTTCAAGTGTTTGAGGTGTAGCAGTGAATAGAATAGTTTTTTCTCTGTAGTTTATGTTCTACTAGAGGAAAGCAGATAAATAAATCTGAAGACAAATAAAGCAGGGTAAGGGAATAGGGAGACACTGGATTATTAAGGAAGGCCTCTCAGAAATTAAAATTTGTGCCAAAATATGTAAGAATTAGTGAGCTATGTGTATCTTTGGGGGAATAACATTCTAGGCATAGAGTTCAGCAAGTTCAGAGGTCGTGAAATAAGAGCGTGCTTGTTGTGTCTGAGGAACGAAAGGAGGCCATGTGGCTACAGATGTGGTAAGAGCAGACAGCCTTCCTTACCTTGTTCCCAATTTTAGGAGGAAAGTATTCCATCTTTCACCATTGTGTGGTGTTCAGGCTAAGGAAGTTCTCTTTTATTCCTAGTTTATTAAGAGGTTTCATTATGGATGGGTGTTAGATTTTGTTGATTTTATGGTCTTTGTTCTTTATTCTACATTGACATTACATTAATTGATTTTCAGATATTAAATCAACTTCACATTCCTAGAATAAATCCCACATGGTTGTAGTGTATAATCCTTTTTATATGGAGTTAGATTTGATTTGCTGGGGAATACTGTTCTGTAGTTTTCTTAGGTCTTTATCTGCTTTTGGCATTAGGGTGACCTCATGGAATGAATTGATATGTTCCCTCCTCCTCTGTTTTCTGAAAGAGTTTGTAAAGGATTGGTATTATTTCTTCTTTAATTGTTTGATAGAATTCATCAGTGAAGCCACATGGGCTTGGGCTTGTCTTTGTTGGAAGAGTTTAAAATTACTAATTCAAATGTCTTACTTGTTAAATCTACTTAGATTTTCTATTTGTTTTTGAGTCACTTTTGATAATTTGTGTATTTTAGGAATGTTTCCATTTCACCCAAGTTGTCTAATTTGTTGGTAATTTGTGTCTTTTTTTTTTTTTTCTTGGTCAGTCTAGATACAGGTTTGTTCATTTTGCTTGTGTTTTCAAAGAACCAACTTTTAGTTTCATTGTTTTTCTTTTCCATTGATTTTTTTACTTGTGTTTTTATTATTTTCTAATTTCTGCTGCTTTGGGTCTAGTTTGCTCTTTTCTAGTTTCTTAAGGATTAGTTTATTGAATTTTGAGGCACAGTACACCCCAAACCAAACAATTCTTCAGGCTTGACTATACTAGTGGACTGTCAGTTTGCTCCTTCTGATACAGTAGCCTCTGGAGACATATCAAACTTCAGAGGGGGCCTGATTCAGAAACAACAGGGAAGACAAGTGGCCTACAATGTATATGTGTTACCAGTAGAGAGAGTGCTAGGGCTAGACCCATAGCACTTGGCAGCCTGGACCCTACCTCCCCGAAATCAGCACTGGGCAGGCAGTGAGGCAGGCTGAGCTTCGAGTAAGACATATGGGGGTGGTGTAGCAGGAAGTCAGGTGACACTTGGCAAGCCAGGGCCTCCCAGGCTTCTGAGGAAGGTTCCCTGATAAAGAGCTAGAAGAGACAGCTGCCTGCCTCATGGACTTCAGAGGCTTCACAGTGGCTTTTGGGGGACCTTTCTGAACACCTCTTTTGCCTATTACAACTGAAATTCTAAGCAGAGATTTGATTCCATTAAATAAGGGTTACAGTGCAGATGCCATAGGTAACATTGAGGTGGGAGGGGCTCTGAGCAATGCCTGGGCTTGCTGGGGACTTACTCGTGACCTTTAGTTTCCTCATCTATAAACAAGGAATAATAGTTTCTACCCAGCCTACTGTGTAAAGCACATTTCAGATAAGTGCTATATAAGACCATTGGATAGTGTACAAATGTACAAGACTATTAATGTTAGTAATTACAGTGTTGGGGACCTGGGATAGAGTCTGAGAAGGTCTAGGAGCAGTAGCAGTGCATCATTGTCCTTCAAGATACGGGGATGAATGTTTGACCAAGGTGGACCTGGTGGCTTAGAAAGGGCAGGAGACTCATTGTCTGCCAGTGTAATCATCAGATGGCTCCTAGAGAATTCTGTGGAGGAGCGGGGATCTGAGGGGGAGGCTGCCAGAGCAGCTCATGTAAGAAACAGCTGTTCCTATTCACTCTCCACCCAAGGATTTTGGCCATATTTTATTACTTTGGTTCCAGAAGCAGCTGGCTTGCTTGAGGATTGCTGTCATAGCAAAGCAATAACCTACAGCTTGCTTGGGGGAAAGGAATCGCATGCAAAGGGCTCTGAGCGCTATGAGGTCCTGGGTTCCCCTGCTTCCTTCCCCAGTTTTCATTAAAACTAAAGAAGATCCTTTTGTCCCTTTGGAGCAGCAGGCCAGAGCAGAACAGCCAAACAGGAGAGGGACCTATAGGTTAGATTAACTGGAGGGCAGTTCTAGGGATTTTGGCTGTGGCAGTGAGACAGGGTCCTGAGCCTAAGAACATGGCCAAGAGAACAAAATCTAAGCTGGATAACAAAGCTCAAGAAACCATGGTCTGTGAGCAATGGTGGTTCTAGAACTTTGAGATGAGTAAGAAGTGAATAAAGGGGACTTACTGAAT